GACAAACATTGGACACTTTCCACTGGAGGGGGACACACATTGGACACTTTCCACTGAAGGGGGACACTTACCACTTGAGGGAGACACACATTGGACACTTTCCACTGGAGGGGGACACACATTGGATACTTTCCACTGAAGGGGGACACTTACCACTTGAGGGAGACAAACATTGGACACTTACCACTTGAGGGAGACAAGCATTGGACACTTTTCACTGGAGGGGGACACTTACCACTGGAGGGGGACACACATTGGACACTTTCCACTGAAGAGGGACACTGACCACTTAAGGGAGACAAACATTGGACACTTTCCACTGGAGGGGGACACACATTTGACACTTTCCACTGAAGGGGACACTTACCACTGGAGGGAGACACACATTGGACACTTTCCACTGGAGGGGACACTTACCACTGGAGGGAGACATAAATTGGACGCTTGACACTGGAGGGGGACACACATTAGATACTTACCACTGGAGGAAGACATGTTCTAGCATCTGGACTGTAAACCTCTCCTGTTGGACACTGTACTAAGAACATGCGTCCCCCACCACACTGGAGGAACTTAGTGGTGTCAGAGGGATGTGGGAAGTAGCCCACAGTATCAGTGCCAACACATGGGTCTGTTATTCCTGACAGGGAATCTACAGCAGAAAAATATTACACATAGACCTGCTCATAAACACAGGGTAAAATTTGGAGTAGAGAACATGGTGCACAGGGACCTGATAATAAACACAAAGTGGATCTTAGAATAGAGAACATGGTGCACAGGGACCTGATAATAAGCAAAAATGGATCTTAGATAAAGAACATGGTGCACAGGGACCTGATAATTAACACAAAGTGAATCTTAGAATAGAGAACATGGTACACAGGGACCTGATAATAAACACAAAGTGGATCTTAGAATAGAGAACATGGTGCACAGGGACCTGATAATAAACACACAATGGGTATGTTGTGGCTTCTTAGGTGTGAAGAAAATAATATACATGTTAGAGGAATTTTTCAACCAACATCAAAGGATATGATGATTCCAGAAATGTCAGCACTTAATGGAGCTGAATACTTATCTGTAGATAAAGAGAAACAGCTACAGAAATGGTACTGAGCACATTTGACATGGCAATAGAACATGACACATGTTTATTTTCCAAGGAAAGACAGCTATAACAGGTATGGCACTGAGCACATTTGACATGGCTATAGAACATAACACCTGTTAATTTTGCAAGGAAAGACAGCTATAACAGGTTTTTTGGGCTGAGCACATTGGACATGGTGCTATAGAGCATGAAATGTGTTTATTTACAAGGTAAGACAGCTAAGATAAGCACAAGGTAAGACAGCTACAGATATGGCACTGAGCACATATGATGGTGCTATAGAATACGACACGTGTTTATTTACAAGGAAAGACAGCTACAAAGTGCAGGTATGGCACTGAGCACATATGACATGGTGCTATAGAACATGACACGTGTTTATTTACAAGGTAAGACAGCTTCAGGTTTATGTATAATTAAATAGGTTACACACCGTTTGACCCGATAAAGTGAAATGGAAGCGTGCACAAATAACGCCGAGTTTAATTTATTTTAAGGGTTCGAAAGGTGAGTGGAAGTTTTATTGAAATTGAGCTTAGACAGTGGTATTTATGTCAGTTTATTTAACTGTTACTTTAAAGACTGGTTGTTTGTTTATGTACATATCTGTGAAATTTGGAGTCGAAATAACATTGTTGAAGGCATTTGATGAGGGACTTACTTTGTACACTTTAGTTTCGTTTAAGATTTACTCTTTGGGTCGAAAAAAATGCGGATAAACGCGCACACACATCTGGCAATACAATATAACAATATTAACACATACACCAACTTATTATGTATATATGTTTGATCCCCTTTCGTTTCGTTGACATGTATTTACACACATCCGCTTCAGTTTCAACAAATTTTATTGCAAAAAATATGCAAAGGGATAGATAGGGCATCAGGCCAAGCCTATATAACCTTCTCCTTCACATCCGCTTCAATTTCCGTTTTCAAATAGCTTCTTATATCTTTTCTTCTCTTGTTAAATAATACCAAAGGACCAAAGGCCAGAAAAACGTAAGAGTGTAATAATAAGATAATTTGATTGTTGGAATCTTCTAGTGGGTGATATGTGCCTCAAGGGGAATCTGTACATAATTTCTTTCAGTTATATATTTTACTATCATTTCATTTTCATTATCACTTAGACTTTTGATAATGATCTTGGTAAAACAATACCAGGTAAGGTTCAACAGATTTTAAAAGATATTTTGTTCGTAAAAACATGGTATTGTATTATGTTTTATTCAACACTCTTTAAATGAATCTCCGTGTTTACTTTGCCTATTGCTCGACTCTGTGTTTTTTTGTGCCGAAAAGAAGCAATCCCTCCTTAAAATTAAGCATTTGTGCGAATTGCACGAGGTCCTATAACTTGACATTACTCAAAAGTCTTCAGTAGAGGTTGCCAATCGTTACTATCTATGTAAACTAGCCGAAGAAGGACCATTTTCCCAGTTAATTTTACACCTGATAAATTGTATTGCGTTATTTATCCATGCCCTGGTTCATTGATCGGAATGTCCAGTGTTGAGGAAGCTTTCGAGTCAGAAAAATCTTCTTTAAGATATAAAAGTACTCACGTGCAGGGGCGGATCCAGAAGTTATTTAGGGGGATATCGATGTCACCATTCCAGATTTTGATACTTTAGCAGTGTATTTTAAAGGGTATTTACGTAATTTTAAAGGGTATTTTTAGCGCATCAGAGGGGGTTTTGGTGGCGGTGGAAGAAATGATGAAAAATGGATACACACGTAATTAAAAAATAAAGTCCAAAATGTTTGTGATGGTAGACAAATGGATTACATGATTCTGAAATCCAAATTTCAATTACAAGACACGCGAGATAGGTTATTCTAATCATACTCACCACAACTTGCTCGTGTCTGATGGTTCTCTGAAACAAAGGCAGTAACCTGTTCAATTGAGAACATCTATCAAAATTTCTTAAAAACGTCAGGTGTTCATCGTCAGCATATCTCAACGTTGACAAATCTAGCGATATAAAAAAAACATTTGCGTCTGATGTTATATGTTTATACTTTTAATATGAATTTGGCTTCAAAGCTTGGATTCTTTTACGATATTTCAGTGTCTTTGTCTTTCAATGTAGTTTATTGACATTATGTGGGCGGGGCTGACTACTTCAGTGACAGATATTGTCCAGGATATTGACACTATGTGGGCGGGGCTGACTACTTCAGTGACAGATATAGTCCAGGTTATTGACACTATGTGGGCGGGGCTGACTACTTCAGTGACAGATATTGTCCAGGTTATTGACACTATGTGGGCGGGGCTGATTATTTCATATTTCAGCTACATATAATGTCGAGTTATGAACACTATGAGGGCATGGCTGGTTACTTCAGTGACAGATATTTCAAAGTTATTTATACTGTGTGGGCGGGGCTAGTTACTTAAGTGACAGATATTTTCAGGCTATTGACACTATGTGGGTGGGACTGGTTACTTCTGTGTACAGATATTTCATCGACTGTGGTGATACGGCAATAATTGACAGTGTGGTAATACGATATGGCTATAATTGACAGTGTGGTGATACGATATGGCTATAATTGACAGTGTGGTGATACGATATGGCTATAATTGACAGTGTGGTGATACGGTATGGCAATAATTGACAGTGTGGTGATACGATATGGTTATAATTGACAGTGTTATAATACGATATTGCTTTAATTGACAGTGTGGTGATACGATATGGCTATAATTGACAGTGTTATTATACGATATGGCAAAAACTTGACAGTGTTATAATACGATATGGCAATACTTGATAGTGTGGTAATACGATATGGCTTTAATTGACAGAGTGGTGATACGATATGGCTATAACTGACAATGTTATAATACGATATAGCTATAATTGACAGTGTGATGTTACGATATGGCTAAAATTGACAGTGTTATAATACGATATGGCAATACTTGACAGTGTGGTAAAACGATATGGCAATAATTGACAGTGTCGTGATACAATATGGCTATAATTGACAGTGTGGTGATACGACATGGCTATAATTGCCAGTTTTAAAATACGACATGGCTGTAATTGACAGTGTTATAATACGACATGGCGATAATTGACAGTGTTATAATACGACATGGCTATAATTGCCGGTACTATAATACGACATGGCGATAATTGACAGTGTGATGATACGCCCTGTATGGGGTACAGAAGTACGATTTGACTATTTTATCACGGTTAAAGTGACACTACGCCCTGTATGGGGTACAGAAGTACTATTTGACTATTTTATCACGGTTATAGTGACTCTACGCCCTGTATGGGGTACAGAAGTACGATTTGACTATTGTATCACGGTTATAGTGACACTACGCCCTGTATAGGGTACAGAAGTACGATTTGACTATTTTATCACGATTATAGTGACACTACGCCTTGTTTGGGGTACAGAAGTACGATTTAAATATTTTATCACGGTTATAGTGACGCTACGCCCTGTATGGGGTACAGAAGTACGATTTGACTAATTTATCACGGTTATAGTGACACTACGCCCTTTATGGGGTACAGAAGTACGATTTAACTATTTTATCACGGTTATAGTGACACTACGCCCTGTATGGGTACAGAAGTGCGATTTGACTATTTTATCACGGTTATAGTGACTCTACGCCCTGTATGGGGTACAGAAGTACGATTTGACTAATTTATCACGGTTATAGTGACACTACGCCCTTTATGGGGTACAGAAGTGCGATTTGACTATTTTATCACGGTTATAGTGCCACTACGCCCTGTATGGGGTACAGACGTACGATTTGACTATTTTATCACGGTTATAGGGACACTACGCCCTGGATGGGGTACAGAAGTACGATTTGACTATTTTATCACGGCTATAGTGACACTACGCCCTTTATGGGGTACAGAAGTACGATTTGACTATTGTATCACGGTTATAGTGACACTACGCCCTGTATAGGGTACAGAAGTACGATTTGACTATTTTATCACGATTATAGTGACACTACGCCTTGTTTGGGGTACAGAAGTACGATTTAACTATTTTATCACGGTTATAGTGACACTAAGCCCTGTATGGGGAACAGAAGTACGATTTGACTATTTTATCACGATTATAGTGACACTACGCCTTGTTTGGGGTACAGAAGTACGATTTAAATATTTTATCACGGTTATAGTGACGCTACGCCCTGTATGGGGTACAGAAGTACGATTTGACTATTTTATCACGATTATAGTGACACTACGCCTTGTTTGGGGTACAGAAGTACGATTTAAATATTTTATCACGGTTATAGTGACGCTACGCCCTGTATGGGGTACAGAAGTACGATTTGACTAATTTATCACGGTTATAGTGACACTACGCCCTGTATGTGGTACAGAAGTACGATTTGACTATTTTATCACGGCTATAGTGACACTACGCCCTTTATGGGGTACAGAAGTACGATTTGACTATTTTATCACGGTTATAGTGACTCTACGCCCTGTATGGGGTACAGAAGTACGATTTGACTATTTTTCATTGTAGTTGGCACTTTGAAGTTATTTGATTCGGGTTGTTTCTCTTGATTACAAATTACATTGAACAATATGATATGTTTTTCTGTCGCGTTATTACTTCGTGGTTACATTGAGTCACGAACATAAACTGTCCCAAGTTGAAACGTATCGGTAGACCGCGAGTAAACGTTAAACTGCAAAAAAAACACCCATGAATGTTTCGTGTTGCACGATTAATCCTGTACTTGTGACCTTGAAATAGGAACGATTTTAATTTGGCTAGTGACAATGACTTTTACAAATAATTACGGCAGCTTGAAAGTAAGTTAAACGGAATCCATTTTTCGACAAAAACATATTTCTTCATATTTTCAGTGTTGTTTTCATGTGTTGACAGCCTAGTGAGGTATAGCATGCCGAAGGTTATTGATAATGTACTGCATGTATTCGTGTTCATAAATATAATCTTTTCAGTACTAATTATTTGTTCTTGTTAACGAGATGGTATTTCATCTTTTTCTTTGGTCATATATCTTATTAAAACATCGATAAAATGTATAACATGCAAATCGATTTGAAGAACCCTGGTGTGTGAATATCGGTCTCGTGTTTGGAGTTGTTAGTGACGTAATGCACCGCAGAAATATGATTACTACAAAAAAAAATTCATTCCTTGGAAAGAAATATCAATGTTCATGTATGCCGTTATGCTTTGTACAGCAAGGTGAGCTAGATCTATGAGTAAAATTCATGTCAATCCAATAAAGAATGTCTCCCCCTCAAGGACCATATATGTGTTATGTACCAGTAATATCTTGAAAAGGTCACAGATTCTGGATTCTTACCTCGAATGTCGCTACCCAGAACCAGAGAGACAAGCACTGCAGCGAGAAACACCTTCATGGTTGTGTCGGAAACAGCTGCTTCGTTGACGGTGATGTGTACAGGTAGTTTGCGCGTGTGTTACCTGCATCGCTGTGTGCATTTTATATACAAGTGTTATGGTGCTAATAAAACAGGGGTTAAAGGTTTTCAGCATACACCCTATGTCGCGTAGTATGGTCGCTAGCTGTTGGGGCGATGTATCTGTTTGCATACTGTTAGAGAGACGCTGACATGCATTATAGGTGTGAATTAATAGGTTTTTGTGTATGCGCTCAAGTCTGGGTTTTGTTCAGTCATTTAAGAACTACTTATCTATGGAAGTATATCGGCAATACATCCGACAGTGTCCACTTGAAGTAGTCAAAAGGTTGTGTTTGATTCGTTTTAACCAATACAGAAGTGTTTCAATATCACGTCCGTCACACATAAATAAACGTCAAACACATTGTTTTGAAAGTAAAGTCTTAAAAAATAACCAGTATATAAATAAACAACAAAAAGTAATAATAGTAATTAAACTACCACACATATGGTAATGGCGATGTAAAACATAACCCGAAACCGAAATAGGTATGGCATTGTCAATAAACCGAAATCCACATCAGATGGACAATAACCGAAATCGACATGGGATCGTCAATAAACCGAAATTGACATGGGATCGTCAATAAACCGAAATCGACATGGCATTGTCAATAAACCGAAATCCACATCAGATGGACAATAAACCAAAATCGACATGGGATCGTCAATAAACCGAAATCCACATCAGATGGACAATAACCGAAACCGAAATAGGTATGGCATTGTCAATAAACCTAAATCCACATCAGATGGACAATAAACCGAAATCGACATGGAATCGTCAATAAACCGAAATCCACATCAGATGGATAATAAACCGAAATCGACATGGGATCGTCAATAAACCGAAATTGACATGGGATCGTCAGTAAACCGAAATCGACATGGGATCGCCAATAAACCGAAATCCACATCAGATGGACAATAACCGAAACCGAAATAGGTATGGCATTGTCAATAAACCGAAATCCACATCAGATGGACAATAAACCGAAATCGACATGGGATCTTCAATAAACCGAAATCGACATGGGATCGTCAATAAAGCGAAATCGACATTGGATCGTCAATAAACCGAAATCGACATGGGATCGTCAATAAACCGAAATTCACATGGGATCGTCAATAAACCGAAATCCATATCAGATGGACAATAAGCCGAAATCGACATGGGATCGTCAATAAACCGAAATCGACATTGGATCGTCAATAAACCGAAATCGACATGGGATCGTCAATAAACCGAAATCCACATCAGATGGATAATAAACCGAAATCGACATGGGATCGTCAATAAACCGAAATCCACATCAGATGGACAATAACCGAAACCGAAATAGGTATGGCATTGTCAATAAACCGAAATCCACATCAGATGGACAATAACCGAAACCGAAATAGGTATGGCATTGTCAATAAACCTAAATCCACATCAGATGGACAATAAACCGAAATCGACATGGGATCGTCAATAAACCGAAATTGACATGGGATCGTCAATAAACCGAAATCGACATGGGATCGCCAATAAACCGAAATCCACATCAGATGGACAATAAACTGATATCGACATGGGATTGCCATTATCCGAAATCAACATTGAATCATCAATAAACAGAAATCAAAACATGACGTCACCGACAATAGCCGATCTATAGCTATGGTTTCGTGAATATTTCAATAAAACGAAATGGAATAAAAAAAAATTCCACATTTAGTTGACATTACAGTGTTTGACAAAGCTATTATGCATTGAGATGTTACACCCTTCGTTTAATCATAGCAACAGTCTAGTTAAATTGCTTTCACAGCGGCTCGTGTCCAGGCAGTGGTGACTACACACTTTGACCCGAGATCGTGGTAGTCCAAGGTCGGAGTGGCCACACGTACCGGCGTCACTAAGGCCTTATACAGTTGTAGAAACTTCAGATTTATTCAAAATCTGTTTAAAACACGGTTTACCGTGATTTCTGCCCATTTTAAATTCCAGGAAATACATATCGAAATTAGAATTTCATATTTTAAGACGATATCAGATATTCGATTTTTTCTCGATGCGGCATTAAGTTTGTACGTAAGGCTATCAGGGTCACCGAGAAAATAGTATTGTCATAATAACGACATGATTTTGTCGAAAGTCGTAATAACGACATACTTACGAGAAACTCATTCGTTATAGCGACATAACTTTGCTATAAGGTCGTTTTTACGAGATAGTAAGCCAATAGTTGTTATTACGATATATGTTGTCGTTATGAAGTCATTATTATGAGATGCTATGTAGTAATTGTTATTACGAGATAGCTATGTTGTTTTATTATCAGAGAGCTTTGCTGTGTCGTTATTACAAAACAAGCAATTCGTTAAGATAAAAATTGGTTACATGTATTACGAGACAGCCATCTCGTTATAACGATATAGTAATAGGTTACATGTTTTAAGAGACAGCCATATCGATATTACGAGATAGTGATTGATTACATGTATGACGAGAAAGCCATATCGTTATTACGAGATAGTAATTGATTACATGTATGACGAGACAGCCATCTCGTTAGAACGAGATAGTAATAGGTTACAAGTATTAGGAGACAGCCATCTCGTTACAACGAGATAGTCAAAGGGTACAGGTATTACGAGACACCCATCTCGTTATAACGATATAGTCAAAGGTTACAGGAATTACGAGACAACCATCTCGTTATAACGAGACAGTAATTGGTTACAGGTATAAGGGGCAGCCATCTCGTTATTATGATATAGTAATTGGTTACATGTATTACGAGACAGCCATCTCGTTACAACGAGATAGTCAAAGGTTACAGGTATTACGAGACAGCCATCTCGTTATAACGAGATAGTCAAAGGTTACAGGTATTACGAGACAACCATCTCGTTATAACGAGGAAGTAATAGGTTACATGTATTACGAAACAGCCATCGCGTTATAACGAGATAGTAATTGGTTACATGTATGACGAGACAGCCATCTCGTTATAACGAGACAGTAATTGGTTACATGTATTACGAGACAGCCATTTCGTAATAACGAGATAGTAAGTTGTAATTATGATATAACACTTGTAGTCAGTGACCAATATAGGCTACCGTATGTTTGATATAGCTGAATCGTGTCGACACTTGGCGATATTGTTTTAAACGTAACATGTCAGTAAAAGATACTACGTAAAACGGTCTAAACCGATCTAAAAAAAATCCTTAAAGACTGTTTAATTTAATCAAACTTCTTAACTGATGATGGACACTATCCTATTGGAGCGTTTTTGTTTAAATGTTTGTGACTTAATCAAACAAGACGTCTGTGTTGTTAATGCTTTGAGTTTACAGAGGCTTTTTATGCCATAGAGATGCAAAACTTTTGACTACTTAGGGTGGTACCCACGAGCTTCTGTGACGTAGCACGTGTAACCTTACACTTATATAAAACCGAGCGCAAGCCAAAGATCGCGTGTCGTACCAAAATTACCAGAGGGAGCAGATCGCGTCGTTTTTTTCTATGAAAACACAAATATGAAAGTCTTCATATTTATGCTGTGTTTGGTGTTGGCTGTTGCAGTTCCACGGAGAGGTAGGTTTCATTTTTAAATCAATAAGATCGATATTTGGATTTGTTTCTTTCCCTGAATTACCGTAAGTGACAGACGCTTTTACCTTTTATACAAATGTTTCTCTTCATTCATTCTTAATTAATTTTCTTAGACTTGTTTCGTATGTGTGACTGTGTATATATTTAAATTAACAAATATAGCGGGAAACACGCGGGTAAGATGCTTGTCGTTCTTAAATACATTTTTCATTTTAATAAATTAAATCATTTACAAAGTTAAAAAAGGGGGGATTCAATTGAATAACAGGGAACCTTTTTAAAACAGATATGTTAGGGAAATTTAATCTAACATTTTTATACATAAAATGTATAAGTGATTTTAACGAAAATCAATCGTGTTTTGTTTTCAGAAAAGAGACAGCTGCCGAATTGTGTCAGTGAGTATGCACTTAACAGTTTTCAACGCTCTACGACACACATCAATGATCAGACCTCGACCTGATTCTAACCAAACATTACCTACCTCTACGACACACATCAATGATCAGACATCGACCTGATTCTAACCAAACATTACCTACCTCTACGACACACATCAATGATCAGACATCGACCTGATTCTAACCAAACATTACCTACCTCTACGACACACATCAATGATCAGACATCGACCTGATTCTAACCAAACATTACCTACCTCTACGACACACATCAATGATCAGACATCGACCTGATTCTAACCAAACATTACCTACCTCTACGACACACATCAATGATCAGACATCGACCTGATTCTAACCAAACATTACCTACCTCTACGACACACATCAATGATCAGACATCGACCTGATTCTAACCAAACATTACCTACCTCTACGACACACATCAATGATCAGACATCGACCTGATTCTAACCAAACATTACCTACCTCTACGACACACATCAATGATCAGACATCGACCTGATTCTAACCAAACATTACCTACCTCTACGACACACATCAATGATCAGACATCGACCTGATTCTAACCAAACATTACCTACCTCTACGACACACATCAATGATCAGACATCGACCTGATTCTAACCAAACATTACCTACCTCTACGACACACATCAATGATCAGACATCGACCTGATTCTAACCAAACATTACCTACCTCTACGACACACATCAATGATCAGACATCGACCTGATTCTAACCAAACATTACCTACCTCTACGACACACATCAATGATCAGACATCGACCTGATTCTAACCAAACATTACCTACCTCTACGACACACATCAATGATCAGACATCGACCTGATTCTAACCAAACATTACCTACCTCTACGACACACATCAATGATCAGACATCGACCTGATTCTAACCAAACATTACCTACCTCTACGACACACATCAATGATCAGACATCGACCTGATTCTAACCAAACATTACCTACCTCTACGACACACATCAATGATCAGACATCGACCTGATTCTAACCAAACATTACCTACCTCTACGACACACATCAATGATCAGACATCGACCTGATTCTAACCAAACATTACCTACCTCTACGACACACATCAATGATCAGACATCGACCTGATTCTAACCAAACATTACCTACCTCTACGACACACATCAATGATCAGACATCGACCTGATTCTAACCAAACATTACCTACCTCTACGACACACATCAATGATCAGACATCGACCTGATTCTAACCAAACATTACCTACCTCTACGACACACATCAATGATCAGACATCGACCTGATTCTAACCAAACATTACCTACCTCTACGACACACATCAATGATCAGACATCGACCTGATTCTAACCAAACATTACCTACCTCTACGACACACATCAATGATCAGACATCGACCTGATTCTAACCAAACATTACCTACCTCTACGACACACATCAATGATCAGACATCGACCTGATTCTAACCAAACATTACCTACCTCTACGACACACATCAATGATCAGACATCGACCTGATTCTAACCAAACATTACCTACCTCTACGACACACATCAATGATCAGACATCAACCTGATTCTAACCAAACATAACCTACCTCTACGACACACATCAATGATCAGACATCGACCTGATTCTAACCAAACATTACCTACCTCTACGACACACATCAATGATCAGACATCAACCTGATTCTAACCAAACATTACCTACCATTTCTTGTTTGAATGTAGCATGTCTTGTTTGAATGTAACATGTCTTGTTTGAATGTAGCATGTCTAGTTTGAATGTAACATGTCTTTTTTTAAGGTAACATGTCTAGTTTTGATGTTATACGTCTATTTTGAATTTAACATGTTTTGACCATACATCTGTCATTAGAACTTTAACGTCTTGTTTTCGGAATATCATACACCTGGTCGTAATATCATACAACTGGTGCTTATACCATACAACTGGTGGTTATACCATACAACTGGGGGTTATACCATACAACTGGTGTTTTTACCATACAACTGGGGGTTATACCATACAACTGGTGTTTATACCATACAACTGGGGTTATACCATACAACTGGGGGTTATACCATACAACTGGTGTTTATACCATACAACTGGTGGTTATACCATACAACTGGGGGTTATACCATACAACTGGTGTTTATACCATACAACTGGTGGTTATACCATACAACTGGGGGTTATACCATACAACTGGTGTTTATACCATACAACTGGTGGTTATACCATACAACTGGTGGTTATACCATACAACTGGGGTTTATACCATACAACTGGTGGTTATACCATACAACTGGGGGTTATACCATACAACTGGTGTTTATACCATACAACTGGTGTTTATACCATACAACTGGTGGTTATACCATACAACTGGGGGTTGTACCATACAACTGGTGTTTATACCACACAACTGGGGGTTAACCATACAACTGGTGTTTATACCATAAAACTGGTGTTTATACCATACAACTGGTGTTTATACCACACAACTGGTGTTTATACCACACAACTGGTGTTTATACCAAACAACTGGTGTTTATACCACACAACTGGGGGTTATGCCACACAACTGGTGTTTATACCACACAACTGGGGGTTATACCTTACAACTGGTGTTTATACCACAAAACTGGGGGTTATACCATACAACTGGGGGTTATACCATACAACTGGTGTTTATACCATACAACTGGGGGTTACACCATACAACTGGTGGTTATACCATACAACTGGGGGTTATACCATACAACTGGTGTTTATACCACACAACTGGGGGTTATACCACACAACTGGTGTTTATACCACACAACTGGTGGTTATACCACACAACTTGGGGTTATACCACACAACTGGTGTTTATACCACACAACTGGGGGTTATACCATACAACTGGTGTTTATACCACACAACTGGGGGTTATACCATACAACTGGTG